ACACACACACACACACATATATATATATTATATATATATATATATATATATATATATATATATATATATAAATATAATGTATAAATAGAATTGTAAATATAAATATTAATATGCATATGAATTTGAATATGAATAGATATAAACGTAAATATAAATAGAATTTTTTTAACTATACATGAAACTTTCGGCCTACTTCTCCATTGCATATAAAGTGTATGTCTTATATACATAAAAGTATCACTCCCATATATATATTCCTTTCCGCTCTACTTTCTATCTAGGTACGGTCCTCTGTTCGGTGAAATATTTATCGGTGCTATGAACAAAGAGAAGAAGTCGACCACGTGGGCAGAAGAAAGCATGGAACGAAAGGGCTTCGTGAAATTGCTACTTATGGAGTTGTTCCTCGGTATGTAAGTACATCCAAATGATGTTCCTATATACTCATACACTTTCCATAGCTTCGATTCGACTTAAGCACGTAGATTCGCAGTATGTTGTATCTCAATGGATTGATAGAGTTCGGATAATTTCACGCGTGCAAATTCTGTTTTTTCTTTCTGTGACTATACAAGGGGCGCTTAAATAGCTAGTGGTGTGAAATTGTCTACTGATCGTTGCCTACAAGTATGTTTATGCACATACCGACACACTGTCGTGTAGATTGCTATATTGATGATGTGCCTGTATCAGAATACGATACACTGTTTGCGAACGTTGACTAGTATTTCGCATTTTAAAATCGTATATCCGAGTGTATACTGTATGACTAATGTACAGGCAGAGAAGCAGAACAAACACTTTTGATGTGTTTTTAAGCTATGAAAGGGTCTGGCAGTCTGTCTTTGTACCAGTGAGTTGGTCTGTTGGGCGTGTTGTCTGGTTGTACACACGAAGGTCCCGTCACGGTCATGCAGCAGCTCTCCTTGTACGTTAGTGTGTATGCAATCAGTATACGCGTGATGTCTCATCCGCGAACAATCTTGTGCGAGTAACTACATGGACAGTTAACAATCGCACAATCGTACTGAATAGAAGCAAATGTAGCATGCCGCACGTGAGGGTGTGTATTCCACATACTGACTGTGTTGTTTACACCTGTAGTATGTCCTATATGCTCACCCTTTCTCTACTGTACTCTCAGGTACACTGCAGGCTTGGGCGCTATCTCACGGTGACATGTCTAACTACTCGTCCGCCATCTCCACGGGGCTCTGGATGACTATCTGCTTCCAGGTATGTTTGTATTCAAAGTGTGCACTTCACAGAATATGTGCGTGTGCCTGGTATATATGTTCAGTTTACCTTATCGAACTGCGAGCAGTAGCTAGTAGGTCGAAACAACCATGCACATAGCCCCAATTGTGTCACATTGGAAGTCAGAGTGAGATAGGCTTCTCCACCCGTGTCCCGTGGTCTACATGTTTTAATCGAGGTATCTGTCAACTAATCTTAAATCAAATGCCAATCATTCCTCTATGACTTCAAATATGTCATATCTATTCCATTAAATTTACGCTTAACACGCATGCCTTTCAGTCACACTGATGGTATATGCTCACACCGATGGCTCAACTAAACCCCACTCTACGCAGATCCCAGCCACCATCAGCTCCTCCACATGGGAAGACAGGCCAGTCATTGTGACAGTGATGAATGTAGCAAAGAACGCCCTTGTTCTTGTATTGCAAGCAGCGTTGCTATGCTATCTATCCAGCATGGACAAGGCCCCGTGCTGTGCCGGTACCGATACAGAAGTGCTCGAGGGTTGAGGGATTTGTTGTACTCTGCCGATGGCTGTGGTCTGCCTGTGGGCGTTGTATACTTGGCAGTTTCATGTGTACTGTACACCTCATGCAGCCGACTGATTTGAACTCAACAAGTAGCTCTATGGAGCGGCTTGAGGTAGTCGTATGAAGACACATATCGTCATCTCGTTGCCTAAATGCTCAATCGTTTGGCTGATTCTGCCCGGCTTTTTACCAAATGACGTTTTACAAATATTATATTGCCTTTCATCCTTGGTATACCGGTCTATGAACTAAAATAACTGCACTGAACGTAACTGCACCTTAATTGGACTTGCAAGATTCTTTCCAGCGGTACGGTTGTATGTGCCGTTTCAGCTAAATATGATGGAATCGTAAAATCATGGGCGACTTTATACTCGGTTTGTAAGATTCTACGCGGACGGCTCTGGAGACAAGGAAGGCTATATGTCACTTAAAGTTGAGTCTCATTTTACAAAAGAGAATAAATCTATCCGTCATGTACCTCCTGTAAACATTTAGCTTGGCGATGAGATGATCGGTTTCGTATAAACCCTGCGAGGTGGGGCTGTAAAGGTCAAAGTTAACAAGGATTGTTACGTTGTCTCAACAGCGGTCGTAGGATGTTGCTCGTAATCACACGCAGGGGTTTACTTTATGTGGGGGTTTGTATAAAATTTGTATTGTCTATTTGTGGTTTAAAAAATAAAAATAAAGCCACATAGGCCAGTTTTTCCAAATAATGTTCATTTTTAATTTTGTGGCTTTTATTTTTTGGCACTTTAGACCATACGAAGGCTATGGCATTTTGTATTATAATATGTAGCCTTACATTCTTTCACGCCTTAAATCGAAATAGGTGTTTCTTGCCACTCACAAGAGTAGTATTGATCATGTTCGTATACATAAGCTTTTGCAAGTGTTATTACTTTATTATTTACGTACTCCACGAGAGAGGGGTAAGGAGTGTACACAGATGCCAAAGGGTATGACCATAGTGAAGAGACTTCCCAGGGAAATGTAGGTGCTTGAATTGATAATAGCTTCAGATTATGTACATATTATATTTGTTGTTGTCGTATTATCGTTGGTAAATGGTAGGCAAGCCAGGGAGAACAGGCCCCAGGGCCCAATTTGATTGCATCACAATATAGTGAGCTGGGGCCCCAGCTCACTATATTGGCCACCTCAAAAATGGCCGAATTTCCATAAAAGGCAGTCATCAGTTTTGGCTTCCTTTTAAACAGAGGCCAGAGCGGCAGAGCCTTCTAAAATGCTCTCAGCAACTTGTTCCCTGGGTTGTAGGGTTTCTTTTGGCATTAATTTGTAACGTGTTGCGTCGAAACGTGCCCACGATATTGTGGCGCGTACTGTTCTACGATCACGCCTTTATTCAGGTCTAGCGTCTGGTCTGCTAGCAATAATAACTAGTTTTAAGCTATCAAGAAACCTCTATTATGTTTTCTTGCTTATTAAGCTTGGTACCAATACCAGACACCAACATGCACTCGTATTCCTTCTTGCACATTAACTAGTAGTAGACAATGACTATCCAATTGAACAACAATAAGCTGAGAGCGGTCTATGCTTTTGTGGGAGGCCTTCTGCTCATTACTATAGTATTTCTACCTTACCGTATACGCAGTCTTATGTACACAAACCCACAATTTTCATACAATGATACAGTACTCCAGTCGTCTACACTAGAGGTCCCTTTCTACATGTACCCTCCCCATGCCTTCAGCAGTATGCTCGATTGTGACATCACACAAGCGAGCAATATGAAACACACTCACGCGATTTTTTTTATAGAGAAGCTGGCTAACCATCATTTGCTAACAACACCAGATAGGGCTGAGGTCTTTGTAATACCTGTGCTGGGTGACTACATATCACGGGGTATGTGTAAGAACAGCATTGATTACCATATTGACGATATTATCAGTGTTCTTGACGAGCAAGGCTTCATACACCACAAGAGACATCTGATAATATTGAGCGACTTCAAATCAACAAATATGGCCGGACGTTTGCGTCAGAGATTTCCACGGTTAATTATAGGGGGCATGGAAAGTTGGCCTGGGACAGAAGGCTGGATAGGGCTTGGCTACAGCACCCACTACGCCGTGTTCGCACCAGGAAGATTCAGCAGACAACAGTGGCTGATGAAAGCACCAGGCCAGCCCAGAAAGTACTTCATAGAGTTTGCCGGTCAGGTCGATGGGAGGAGTGGATATGCACATCGGATGGCCTTGTTTAATTCTACAGGAGACATCCAGGATGCAGTGATTATTACATCCACTAAGAGTGTGGAGGATGTTGCGGCATGTGAAAAGGACAGCTTAGATCGGTGTATGAAGATTCTATCACCTCGACAAATGAGTGCGATCAGAGAACAAAGCAACTTCTCATTAGCATTCAGAGGCGATACACTTGGGGGTGATCGCTTTCAAAACGCAATGTCCGCGGGGGCTATTCCTGTAACCGTGGTTAAGAATGCTACCACTGATCTACAGTGGGTTCCATTTCCCCATATCATCCCATGGAACAAGCTAGTGATAACTATACCAGAGGAAGACTGGATGTTAGATCCGGTGGGGTGCATCAACCAGTTGCGTAGCATACCACACACAGAGATATTGGAAAGACAGGCGCTTCTGGCTTACTATAGGCCTGATTTCGATTGGGCTGTGCCTAACACTCGATACCATGAGAACATTCTGATCGAATCCGTCAATGCCCCTTGTGCTGCGTGTACAAAGCCATAAATATACTCATGTAGGAATACAAGGCGCCTGGGGAAAGGAATAGTCCGCAGTATGTGTATGCCTGAGTACAACATAAGAATACCCATGCCTGTGATTTTCGCACTACAATTCCGGAAAAACCAGATAGGACATGTGTAAATGTTGTCCCGTTCCATCGGCCAGTAACTATGTTTCACACAAGAAAAGACTTCGAAAGTGCGTGTCATATATTTGATATCGTCATTTAAACAATCTGTCTCCAGCTATAAATCAAGGGTTTGGGTAGAAATCATGCACAATACGCGTGCGGTATTATATTCTGCTCAATTTGAAAGCTGTTTATTCATAACATATATCCCAATATGCGCAATGAAGGCCTCGCATGGAATACGTGATAGCTCAACACTGAAGGCATACAAGTCATAACTCCTGGCTCCTAAAAAAAGATACAGGAGAGATGGTCTGTTGGGTGCCACACAAAGGGACCTCGGCTCAGAACACTATGTATAAATATATATATATATATATATGATAATAAAAATATTGGCGCGCAATTGTATTTTCAAAGTTCAAACAATTATAAATATGCACGAAAAGCCGACACTTCCGTGATGCAAAAGTAGTGCATGACTGCACGGGCGCTTATAAATACTTGCATTTGTATAGATATATGTAAGGTCGCCAAGGGGATACATTGCCAGCACAATCAACTATTGAGAACTTGTAAATGCCGATATATAGAAAACTTTCAAATGCCGAGTTGTTGACGTGCGTGAGCAGCACTGATAGAACAGTCCACCATGTGGTTCATGTGTACTAGGCTTACATGTTCTCTTGCATTAACTTGAGGAGTTAAGGAGTTATTTTGTTTGTTGGCACTTTATGAGCTTTCTGAGAGATTAACATCCATGATATAAAAACCTTCTCTCAAGATCAACACGACACACACAACCGCAATGAGTAGGTGTCGACCCGGGATTTCGAAGGACTTCTACAGTCTTCTGACAGCATTCCTCAAAGTAGGTTTGTTACTATAATCATGCACGACAGCAGCTGCTATATTATGAGGCATCTGACAGCAATAGACGTTTGACAACAATCCTCTAAGTAGCTCTATTCATTTAAACGTACGAGAAATCTATATCACAGCCCCGCGTTGCCAGACCAGTGAACTATGCGAGGGCGCCGCGACGAGTTCCTATTTCTGACGCTGTTTTGCATTGTCGAGATACTTGGCATGACCTAACCAACCACCAACTCATGTCGCTGCTCTGGTCGTTCAAATATGCTGATGCACAACCAGTCGCCTTTGCATCTCTCTATCGCCGTTGTAATGAATCTTAGTCGTAAGGTTGTCTATGAGCTGCTCGAGATATGAGAACTGCATTTGAGTTTCCGTTTCTTGAAACGGAGTATCACGTTTGCTTGTGTCCAGTGACCTCATATCATCACAATCATGGGCAAGCTTCAGGTCGCTTGCAAGTTAGTATGGTACATAAAGGCACAACTTCTGCGACTGTGAAGTCAGTAACCGACAACTATAATGCATACGTCTACTAGCTATGTAATTGCTCTAGCTGGACACTATCAAACTAAGTCGAATCATTCAGTGTAGTTTATTTATTGGTTTGTTGCATGCACAATTTGCGCTCGTCCTGAGTGTCAGGATCCTCATCTGCTTGCAAGGCACACGGCGTGCAACTATAGACTCCCACTGTCTTTTGGAGAACTCACATCTTGGTTTAAAATAATAGTGACATCATAGGCCAGCTCATTGTCGCTTACCGTTGTTTTAGCATACACACACCTTGTATCGCTTTGTTTGATGAGATGCTTTGAATATCGAGCGATTTATGTATATCGAAACAGACTTCCATATCATCAATCCATACATCAACTGTATGAGAAAAATATATCGCTGAGAAAGGGGTTCACGTTGGTGTGCCTGCCTTTACATGTGCACCTACCTATACCAATCCACAGAGAGTGTTTTGGTACTGATATAACCTCTCGACTACAATATATATAAATACACACACACACAC